ACTGTAATGTATGACCTGTAGTCCCACTAGTCTCTAGATAAGGGTGGACGTGGTGCTATTACCAATTAACCATAACGGTAAATGGATGGTGCCCACGTCCTCCGTCACTAAACTAAACTATCTAATTGCGACAAAATTCAAAAGTAAAAATTTGTATTATTGCCTCATTTATTACGGAGTAGGCAATGTATGTTGTCAAGTAAGTATAAAAAAACATTCAATTTCTACGTGTTATAATTCAGTTCTTAAACTACTGCTTCCTTATGGAAAAGAGTAGTAATTTACATTAACGCAACTAATCGTTGTTGATCTAGTTTTTTACTTTCTTTAGGCTTTTGTTTCGATATAAGTTTTCGTCCGCAAGTATTCTGGTGAACAAAATTAGGAGAGGGAGACATTTTCACGCATTCCTCCTAAAATACCAGACAAAACTTAAACCAGTTAATTGCAATATATTATCACTGTGGCGCTGGTGTCGCTGAGATGAGTCTATGTGTTTCTATGTGCGTCGGAGACACGAAGACATCCCTGCCCTTAGGCAGGTAACGTTCGAGTGCTTTGCCATAGTCAGATTAAATAAAATTAAAAAAATAAGTAAGCATCATGAGCATTTGACTAGAGTCTCTGTTTAATTCTTTCTATACAGAGAGAAAGAGAAAGAATTAAATCTATAGAGATTAATAAAACCATAAGCATCAATCTGTCAAAATCCGATATCTTTTTTCATTAATGCTCTTATAATTTTTCAACGCAGCAATTTCTAAGAGCAGCTGTTTATTTGCTCTTAGCCCCCTCCCCGCCCAAATAAGTAGTGGAATAGTAAAATATACTGATATTTTCTTAGATTTTAAAGAAAACAATATCATTATGGCACAATTAATAAACTCGCGGCTTTCCTTACTCATGGCTATACACAAAAGCGAAAAATTGCATGACAAAAACTTAGACGTCTGTAATTATGATTAGCAAACAAACAAGTTTTTACTTCATGTTTAGTTAATTAGTTCTGTCATTATATCAAGTAAATTTTGAAATATTATTTATATCCGTAGCGTCAAATAAACTCTGGATCAAAAATACCCGCAGGAAGTATAAAAGTATAAACCAGCAGGAAGTATAAAAGTCTGTGTCAAGATGCTGAGCTCATTTCGATTTTTTATTATCTTTCTTGAATAATCTGGCTGCTTTTTTTTTTTTTTTTTTTTTTTTTTTCTGTTTTTTAGGTAAAATGATTACCTATCATCGCTTAAACAAAGGTACGAGATGGAGAATCGTGGGTAGGCTTGAGGCAGGGTAATCCCATGCTCAGGTTGCAAGAGAATTGTATGTAACACCAAAAGTCATCTCTAATTTGTGGAATCAGGTTTAAAATCAGCGAGGCAGTGTTAAAAAGACCAGGACAAGGACGTCCGAGAGCCCCAACGACCAATCACGCCGCTATTTGGTACTTTCTTCCAAACTCCAGAGGACGTCTACAGCCACACAACTGTCTTGTGACCTCACTACTGATATATGAACATTAAAAACATTCAAGGAAGACAGTTGCCAGAAGGTTCCAAGAGAGAGGATTGCATGCTAAAAAGCCCGTTATTTGCATCCCACTCACTGTCATCCGCAAAAGAGAGGTTTCACAATGGTGCATACAACTCCAACACTAGATACAGCTTCAATGGAAAATTGTTCTCTTCATGAGAGTGAGTGTATATTCAGTCTACAACGTGATTCAGTGATTATTCATATGGAGAGAGCCTAGAACCCGATACCATCCCAGCAACATCATGGAAAGGGATCATTATGATGTTGGAGGTGTAATGATCTGGGTAGGGGTTATGCAAGAGACCTGCACATCGCTGCATGTGTTTGTCACTGGTTCCGTGAGTGCCCAGAGGTATAGGTAGAACATCATAGAGCCCTATGTGCGACTTTTCAGGGAAGCTGTTGACCGCGTTAAATTTTATGGACAACAATACACGACCACATAGGGCCCACCTGGTGATGATTATCTGGAAAGCGAGGATATTCACAGAATATATTGGCCAGGCTTGACCAATGATCTTGACCTTAATCCTACTGAACACGCTTGGCATGCTACTGAGAGGACTATTGCAATATGCCAACCCCACCCGGAACCATTCAATAGTTAAAACTTCTCTGATGGAGAAGTATGTGCGACTTCCACAGGCACTCCTGAACTCTTTTGTTAACAGTTTGGCTACTTTTTGTGCATGCTGTCTGTCTGTCAGAGGCAACCACACCCCATACTAACCAGATTTTCACTGCCATCTTTCAACATCATGTGTAAACAATTTTGGACTCTTGTCCATAACTCAAGCAAATGTTTTGTACACATTATTGTCATACAAAATAAGGTATATACCTAGTTAATGTCATTAATTTCTATTTTGTATTTCTAGAGATATTTGGGAAAAAGGTGTTCCATCTCTTAATTTTGTCCACAGTGTTTGCATGATTAGGCGTGAAGTAGTAATATGATTTCTTTTCCTCCGTTCCATACTATTAGGGGTTGAATATCAAGGGAATTTTGCTTATGAAGTTAAAAACCTGACGAAATTAAAATTTTACATTACATTGCATAAAAATACCGATCAAACCTCAGAATTTTATTGCATATTACGGCATTTAGGCTTTATATTTTGCTTGTCTACAATAAAATTAAAATTATATGATATAAAATTGTTTAACCGTAATGCATGCAAGAGAAAAACAGCCTTTCATATGTCATACAAAACATCGTTTCTCAGTTTTCATATAGCTTTTATTACTACTCTTATTTTGTTATTCTTTATCCTAACATACATTTCCTGAAATCTTTAAAAAATATAAATTTGAAAAGATATCAATTATGTGTGACGAAAAATAGCAATTTTAACTTTAATACAACTTTATTTATTTTATCTTATGATGTAATGCTGAAAAACGTCTTTGGGAAGTATTTACCGTACATCCTCGTGTATTACCCCCTTTGCTTTAATAATTTTATCGTCCGAAGAGAGGGGAACATTACGCAAGTAATTTGATTTCCGAAAAACATGGTTACTGTAAGAGCATAACAAGTAGAAGCTATTCGTGGCTTACCATTACAGTATTATTTCTTTAAAAGAAACCTATATGCCAATAAGGTAGGAATGTTAACACTTCAACATCTGACCGAGATTGAGCAAAGATCTGATGGTGAATGAGTCAAGCACGACTTTACTGGGTTATTTATATTGTGAAGACTCAGGGGTTCTTCGCATGAGTGACCACAGTTCTCAAGAGAGACATTGGAGGCTCAAAGGAGAAAGATATCTAAAAACGAACGTAACACGTAAGAAAAATGAATAAGGTAAAATCATATGGTTGGAAAGTTTTTAGGTATAAGATCCGGGTAGCTTAACGAAGAATCTCCACAAAATAATTTTCAAATAATAAATATAAGGGAAAATGAAACGGATGAAATGAAAATACAAAAATGTAAATGCAAATTGATATGAATATTTTTAATACATATCAGAACATAGAGGGGAAAATGCGCGAGGAAATACGATATATGAAAAAAAGGTAGAAAGAGTGAAATATGAGATAGCGAATGTACGGAACTGTGACTCCCATGTTCTCGCGTGGTCCAATGTTTAGCATAGCAGGTTTGTTACTCAATTCTTGTTAAAGTTCATTTGTTTTCAAATGGAATATGATCTCGTTTAAAACATTCCTGGGTTCTTAATCTTTGAGTGCTTACCACAAAAGAACATGGGAATACACTGAAGTGGCAAAAGTCATGGGATACCTCCTAAAATTTTGTCAGTCTTTCTTTTGCCCGGCGAAGTGCAGCAACTCAACGTGGCATGGACTCAACAAGTCCTCTGCAGGAATATTAAACCATGCTGCCTCTATAGACGTCCATAATTGTGAAAGTGTTGACGGTGCAGGGTTTTGGGCACGAACTGACCTCTCGATGATGTCCCATAAATGTTCGATGGGATTCATGTCGGGCGATCTAGGTGGCCAGATCATTCGCTAAAATTGTCGAATGTTCTTCTAACCAATCGCGAACAATTATGGCCCGGTGACATGGCGCATTGTCATTCATAAAACTCCCATCGTTGTCTGAGTACGTGAAGTCCATGAATGGCTGTAAGTGATCTCCAAGTAGCTGAAGGTATCCATTTTCAGTCAATGATCGGTTTAGTTGCACCAGAGGACCGAGTCCATGCCATGTAAAAATAGCCCAGACCATTATGGAACCACCACCAGCTTGAACAGTGACTTGTTGACAACTTGGGTCCATAGCTTCGTGGGGTCTGCGCAACACTCGAACCCTACCATCAGCTCTTACCAACTGAAATCGTGACTCATCTGATCAAGCCACGGTTTTCCATTCGTTTAGGGACCAACCGATATGCTCACGAGCCCACGAGAGTCGCTGCAGGCGATGTCGTGCTGTCAGTAAGGCACTCGAGTCGGTCTTCTGCTGGCATAGCCCAAGGAAGACAAATTTCGCCGCACTGTCCTATCGGACACGTCCCTCGTACGTCCCACATTGATTTTCTGCGGCTATTTGACGCAGTGTTGCTTGTCTGTGAACATTGACAACTCTACGCAGACGTCGCTGGTCTCGGTCGTTAAGTCCAGGTGGTCGGCCACTGCGCTGTCCATGGTGGGATGTAATGCCTGAAATTAGATACTCTCGGCACACTCTTGACACTGTGGATCTCGGAATGTTGAATTCCCTAACGATATCCGAAATGGAATGACCCATGCGTCTAGCTCCAACTACCATTCCGCGTTCAAAGTCTGTTAATTTTCGTCGTGCGGCCATAATCACGTCAAAGTCTCTTCACATGAATAACTTGAACACAATTTTCTACGCGATACTACTGCCATCTGTATATTTGCATATTGCTATCCCATGACTTTTGTCACTTCAGTGTATGTTTGGATATAAATGAGTAGTAGTAGACATAATGACATCTTTTGTTGACAGAAAGTAACCTTTTACTCTTTTTATCTTGGGTAGAACAACATCAGATATGTATGCTTTTATTAACAAGGATGTTTCTCGTTGGCTGCCTTGCTATACATTAAACTACCATCTGAACAATGACAAAGATCCTCTTTCGATGGGTAAGTTAGCTCTTTTTGATATTTTTATACCCAAATAAAATCTCAACTTTATAGACTGTACTGCAGAAGAAAAATCACTTTTATTGCTACTATAAGTATTATATATTATGTATTTAATGATATGTTAAGTAAAATGCCTTTTGCAGATTTTATTAGAACTAATTCAAATTCTTAGGTGTACTGATTTCGTTGGCATTCAACGTAAACGTATGTTATATATCAACACCCCGACTTACGAGCCCCACCAGTGACCGAGTGGTACTGAATAATGTTTGTTCGACTGGGGTTCAAACCTAAAAGAATGGGCTGGCTACATGCTTAGTTTTCGTGATATTTTCCATGTGTAACGTGAATACGAGCTACCAGTATTATATATGATGTATTCTTTTTTGAATAAGATGTTTACTCAAATGCAAAATATAACCATATGACGCATAACCAAAAGGATATTAAAACACTGAGGTAAATTTTTTTCAAATAACAAAGGTATTGTGATAAAAAATAATTTTGCTCTAAAATGAGAGACTCCGCGTTAGACGTGAGTCGATGTGAAGAGAAATGATGCTCTGTGGTAAATTCATCATTTTGAAATCTGAGAGTAGTCCGAGTCATTTGAGTTAGCATCTTGACGTGAGTGGCACATCACAAATATTAAAATATATTATATAGTCACCCACATTTTTTCATCTTTGAGGGCATTGTAGCGCTTGTAGCTAGACATATCGGAATGGATACGGCTGGCAATATTCTCAAACCGCTCGGTATTCAGATGCCACCTTTGTCTTGTAAATTTTCATGTAAAAGTCCAGTCTTCTCTTGGATAACCAGAAAACATGACGACTTCGCTTCTGTATCAGATCTTCAATCAAGCAGAGTAGCAGTTTCTCTCCATTTCTGAAATCAGGTTAAGATTTGCCTTCGTAATGTTTGTACTCTTTATAGTTAGCGCACATTCTTTCGTACTTTCAACAGTGGGAACTTTAGCAATGTTTTCGGGGGGAAAGAAATACCCTTAAAAAGTAACCCGATCATCTCGAATTTTTTTGTGCATATTCCTACACACCAAGTATCCAAATGATTAAATTTGGTCACAGCGCGCGTTTCTACTGCGCATTTAGCATCGTGTAAAACAGATAACAATTGCGGACGGTTTATCTTTTTTCGTTTTCGGCGTTGCAGTTCCCTAAAGATATAACCAATAATGCTGTTATGGTGTTGCCAAAGACCTCATAGTTAACTGGACGAGTTCGAAGGTGGTCGCATAGTAGGAATGAATAAAGCGGACTGGTCCTGGTGAGTAATAGTCGACCACCTACATCATATGAACACAACTGTGCAAAGGTACAATGGTTAATGCAATTGTATGATGTTGTACTCATCAGCGGAATCAAAGTTCTCGAAAGTGAAGTTGCATGAATGCTAGGCAACATTGGATGATTTTGCAACAGGTCCGAACTGCCCCAAAGATATCATTGTCCTCTATCGGACGTGCCACAACCTCATCCATAAGACCATGGCATCTTCCAACTATTCACGATTCTAGTTTTCGGTGCGGTTGCGCTCACAACGGCCTATAAGAAGTCTGCCTTTAATATCACAACATCGTAGAGTCGTTTGGAGTGGTGTCATAACCGATCTTCATGGCATCGCACAGTGTTCAGCGATGAATCTTTCTTCAAGTCCTGGAGCAGAGGACTATCAGCTTCGTGTGCTCAGGAGCCAGTGTCAGCAGTCCTAAACAGACTTTGCTTTGCACTGTTACACAGCCATTACTCCTGGGGTAATGGTGTGGGATGCTATTTTTCCCAACAAAAGGTCGATCCTAGTCATCATGCGTAAATTTAAAAAGCTAAACGATATATTGATGATATCGTGCGGCCATTTGCGTTATCTTTCACTGCACGCACTCTTGGAGCCATTTAGTAACAGTGTAATGTTAGAACCCTTACGGCTCGGATATCTCTATACCGTCTCCGAGCTGTTGATACCTTTCCTTAGCCAGAAAGCGGACTAGACCTTACGCTAATCGAACATGTATGGGATATATCAGGCTGCCAGATTCGGGCACTCCAAAATGTCGCAGATCTAGAGCAACAGTTGAGGAATGCTTGGTAGAATGTATTGCAGAATGAAATTATGATCACTTTATCACCCTTACCTCAACGTTTACAAGCATGCATCACGGCCAGCAGGAGTCTCACCAGTTACTGATTTGAACCATTCAATCTGCAATTGCTATCCACTGATGGGCCCTATGGCCTTGAACTTTAAATTTCTGCAACTGTGTATAAGCTTTACGCATATTATTTTCTAGAAAAACAGTCACTTTTTTAAGGCACCTTTTTTTTAAAAAAAATGTATATAATGTCTGTATGGTATAAAAGGCACTTAAAATACTGGGGAGCCGAAACTGCTCTTAAATGGTTTCGTGGTAGAGCAACAGAGGTGGAACCCTTGGAGCGTCCTCAGTATGCTCTCTATCAAAACTTTGATGAAGCTGCATAATTAGTTCGGTAGGACTGTAACTGAACAACCAGTGGTGAAACTATGATGTCATGCCTATATATTCTTACAGATAAAACTTTCTCGTTTTCATACAAATGAATCATTTTCAATTTTTCCCCAAAAAATAATTGTTTTTTATTAGGCTTATAAGTAGAGCATTCGGTTCTGCGTTTCGAATCCATTTCAAGGATAAACAAGCAACGAGCATTAAAGGTGTTAAACAATAGACTAAACTAAGGGCAGGAATATCGTTTGAATGCAAGAAGGAAGATTCGGAGAAAGGAGAAATTTTTCAATGGTTTGTATTTCATACAATTTAATGTAAATGTTACAGCTTTTGTGCCCTTATGTACTGCGAATTTGCGTAAGTCACGTGTTTCGCAAGTCGGGTCATACTCTGGCAAAATTATGGTTTAATGAATTATTAATGATTTGAATTTTCTATTTAATAACTTTAAAAAACAGAATTTCAGTGTTTTACGTATATCTAACCATACATATTAATGTACACTGCTCAAAAAAAAAAATGGGACAGTGCTATATCTCCCGTTCTACTGGGCCGATTGACAAAATTCAAACTGCGTTTTTCATGTCTCGAAAGCGCGACTTAGGATATATATTAGATTTATATATAGCACTATTCTAATATAGGTATTTTGACACAAAATCGGACTTTTTCTGAAATAACATACCAATTTTTTTCCATATTTCGATTCTACGACTCAAATTATGCCAGAATACCAAGTTTTGTAAAAATCGCGTACGAGTAGTTTTTAAAAATTAGCTCTCAAACTTTTAGCTCCTCAATGTTAATTGAATTTGGCAAATATTTATTAATATCTCTTTTTTTATTAAACTTTTTTGATTTTTTCTCTCACATTTCGAAATTTAGGTTCATTCCAAATAAAATTTACCCATTTTTTTGTGTTTTATTTTTTAAATTTCTATTTTTAAATAATTTTTATAAATTTTTCGAAAAAAATTTTGAATTATAACCTATAAAATTTTTACCATCATCATAAAGTAGGTGTATTTTTAAGCATATCTGCAAAAAATTAGACTTTTTTATTCAAAATTTTCTAAGATATACACGAATTTATATATTTTCGCGTTTTGAAATTTGGCATCTTTTTTTTGAGCGTTAATAACGCCAAATGTGGTCTATGGATTTTTGTTACATTGAATTGCCACAGCTATGTTTAACCTTAAATTTCGAGTAAAATTTTACGGAGAATTGATTATATGAAATATTTTCCCTCAATAAGGCGTAAAAAATATTTATTAATACTATATGAAAAGCTATTTTTTTAAATTATAGATGATATTATTCAAATTTTAACAATGTTTTTTAATTTCTCTCTTTCTTCCTTTTTTTTAAAAAAATAAGAGTACATTTTTCTAAGAGTAAATTTTTACCTTCGGCGTTTTATCGTCTGCTACTTTACTTCGTTTAAATCGAATTGTCTAAAACTGAGAATTTTCGTTTAATGTTTATTTGAATTTTATGAAAATATTTTATGACATCAACTGCATAATTTATTTCTAAACAAACTGTTGCTTTTGAAGTGGCTGAAAGAGCGGCAGATACTATCATCCATATTTTTAAAGCACAGTATATTTTTATAGAAACATAAGATTTAGAATAATCATTTATTCTAAATCTTATGTTTCTATTCTAAATCTTATGTTATTCTAAATCTTATGTTTCTATTCTAAATCTGTGTCAAATTATGATATAAACATACAACCATCTAGAGACTGAATTAGTGGAAGTTCAATGGTTATGTAGAAATGATTTGCAGCTACTTAATGGCTGGATAAGTCAGCAGCTTCTGTGGACAAGTAGGAATAATTATATAAACGACACACAACATTCTGGATTCAATTAACAACGAGGATACGATGTTTATTAAATGAATTTAAGAAGTTTTAAAACATAAAAAATCAACTCATTTTTATCCTAAAATGTATTTTTGTGCGTAGCGTATTTTCATTATATCCTTAAAATTTTAATTTAGAATGTAATTGTCAAGAACTGAATCCTAATCATCAATAATATAATAAGTAATTATTACGGTTATTAATAAATCCTTCTTATAAGGTAATTGCAAATATTTCAGAAAACTTTATGTCTGAATGCAAATATTTTTCTATGCAAAATTTTTAATTTTATATTAATCAAGATTGCACACGATATTATTTATTCGCACATAAATTTTTACCGTCAGCTCTTGTAGAAGTTACAAATCAATTATATTTAATTAAGGATTGGATTGGATTACATAATTATGGCAAAGCACACGAGGGCTATCTGCATAAAGGGAGGGATGCCTTCGTAGAGGACGTTCTAAGGTAAACTGGCTCGTATACACGTTACACATGGGGAAAACCACGAAACCGCCCATGCAGCCAGCCCGTTCGTGGAATTCGAACCTCAGACCGAACTACCAGTCCTCAGCGTCTTTACCGCTCGGCTGCTGGTGGGCTATTTAATT